CGTTACCTTCGGATTCGGCCGCTCTGTTTTGTTGTTCTCACTCTCTTCACCGTCGCGTTTTAAATCTCCGGCGAGACACTCAGCTCTCATCCGACGACAATAAGCTAAAAGAGTCGCTCTCCGATCATATCCACGTGTCTTTCCGATCTCACGCTTCCAATTCCGCTCAATGAATCTCTCACCTTCGTTATTTTGCTTCCCTCTCCGTCGAAACGAACGGACGGTCGTCGTTTCACGATCAACGTACACGGTGATGATCACACCGTACATTATCCTCGGATTTTTATCTCCCATTTTGCATTTCTTTGTAATTTTTTTTTTTTTTTGGAGCTTCTTCAACTCTAATCAGGATTTTGTTGTTTAATTAGAAGGAATCAAGCAAATCAGGCAAGAGACAAATCCCTTACTTAATCAGAATGACACGTGTCACCATCTCATATTGAGTTTAACTACTCCACGGTCAACGATCTCAAATGCTGACTCAGAGATTATTATCAGATGAGAAAATGGAATTTAAGGAGGTGTTATTGAATTGGGGATTTTAATGTATTTTAAAATCAGAACAAAAATAGTGTTATTCAATTGTGTATTTGACGGAAAAACATTGAAATCCAGTGTTATTGGATTAAATATTTGTTATTGTATTTTAAAACACACATGTTATTCAATATCTATTTGATTTTGTTAGATTTTGATTACAATGGATTGTAATGTATTCTTTTAACTAAAAAAAGAGTAAAACAAATACAAGGATTTTTATTKGTATTTTGAAGTATTCCAACAAATCACACGTTAAAAGTAGTGGATCCATCAAAATCGATTAGGATACAACTGAACTCTAAGTACATTATAATCACTTATTCAATAACACTTCCTAAATAGTTAACCAAACATGCGTCTAATGGGCCTATGGGCGTATAATAACAAATCTTGTATTTGGTTATATTGGGCCTACAATAGAAATCTACCTTAATCAACGACTAATGACGAATCTTGCAATTTGTTTGATTAACTATAAAAATGCTGACAAGAATCTCACAATTAATTATTGCAAAGAAGGAAACTGTTATACTAATTTGACCAACAACAATCAAAATACTCCAGAAAGGTCTTTGATTATTAAACATTGCATCTTTATCGCTAAATAAAATATAAGAAACAAAAATCATATCCCTATGGACCACTGCGATTAACTACAATTCTTTTTCGTAAAACTATAAATTAATAGTGCTTTATTTGATTAATTAAATTTAAAAAATAATTAGTGTGGCATCTTTCCACTTAATTGTCTTCAGGCTTCTGAATAACAAGATTAAAAAAGAAAATATTTTTTGCAATAAAAGAAAAATAAAAACAGTGAACGGCACAAAAGGGAATATCCAGGGGAGGCTATATGCGTTAATTTGACCCTTCCTATTGCGAAATGTGAATGTTATAGATAAATTTAAAAAAATGCCAAATCTTAATTTGACACTTTTCAAGTCGCATTTTACAAAAATATCACTTTTTATAATTTTTGTAAAAATACTATTTTTTTAAAATTATTTATTCAATATATCATTTATGTTTGGGTTAACTATGTTATATTAGGGTTTAGTTTTGAGGGTTTTAGGGGTTTTAGGGTCAAAATTTTTTTTAGGATTTAGAATTTTAAGATTTAGGTTCTAAAAAATCAATTAGTGACACTTTTGCAAATGGACACCAAAAGTGGCATTTTTGCAAATATCGACACAAAAAATGATATTTTTGTAAATGTCTCAATGTTATATAGCTAACTTTTCTCGTATCTGTTCTGATTTTTATGCATAATTTATTATTTTATATAATATTTTAAGGTATCAGTAGACAATAAATAGTGATATCATTTTTGGAGCAATTACAAAAATACCATTTTTTATGTGCACATTTGCAAAAATGCCACTTAGGGGTGTCCATTTACAAAAATGCCACTAATTATAGATTTATAAAGCATATATCTTAAAATTCTAAACACTAAAAAATGTTTTGATACCTAAAACCCCCTAAACACTCAAAACTAAACTCTAATAGAACATAATTAACCAAAACATAAATAATATAAAGAAAAATAATTTTGAAAAAGTGGCATTTTTGTAAAGATTTTAAAAATGTGGTATTTTTGTAAAGTGACACTTGAAAAGTGGCATTTTTTGAAATTTATCATCATTTTTTGGTACTACTAATTTTCTCATTTTTTTTTATCAAATTCTATTTTATATAAAAATGTTTTAAATTTTAATTAATCATCGACTAATTATACATTGACTCTTTGTGGTGGATAACAATTACACTTCTTGTCTTTTTTTTTTGAAAAATTAATAACAATTACACATTTACTAGAATGTACAGTATATGATAATCACTATAACCATATGCTATTAATCGTTGCAAATAGCAATCATTGTTATGTCTTTTCTAAATGTGATGATTTGAGAAACATAATATATGAAAATCTGTGGTTACTTATTTGAAAGTGTTTTCCTAGACTGCACTTTACGAATTTTGAATCTTCCACTATAGCATTATTTTCTTATATATAATATCTAGTTTTGTTCTTGTATCTAATATAATATTTTAAAGTTTCTTCAAAACCAAAATCATGACAAGTTACCATGTATCATCTAATTTTTTGATATTTAAATTTTTAATTTATTTATTAAAAATGAAAATTAAATGTCATTTAATAACTTTATCAATTAGTTCTAATAATTTAATTGGCAATTCTTATGTAAATTAATTCTAACAAATTACATTTAACTGTTTTGTGCACATTTATGTAATTCT